TCTATATATGTCGTTGGTCGTTTTGATTCGCCGTACAATTTTTTTTATCTGTTTTTGTCTTCGTTGCCTTTCATGTGCCAGATTTCGCTCCCGTTTCTTGTCACATCTCTCATCTCCATTCGTTTTGCTTGTCGTCTCTTCTTGCCTGAATGCCGCGCAACAATCCTCACCTAACCCAAGCACAGCCTTAGCTGAGACGAGCAAGGCAACCCTGTCATTCGTAGTAGTACTACTCCGATCTCCTTGTCCCGATTCCGGCATCGACATTCCGATGGCAAAACCACCCCGCTATTTACTCCGCCGCCACTTTCCTTGATCGCCTGATGCACATTCCGATTTGGTTTACAACTTTCGATGTGACCGAACGAGAGACGAACTTTAAGTGGATTGCGCGCGGTATATCGGCGTATGACGGTATATACGAGAAGGAGAAGACACAAAATCGTAAGGAATTACGATGTATTTATCGAGCTATATCTTTGAAACGCATTCTAAGATGTATGTACGACCAGAACCAAGCGTTTAAGAGAAGACATCGGAACATTTATAGACTATGAATTTAAAATCAAATGATTTTCGCCGCATAATCTCCCATCGATGGATACTTCCTTTTCACACGCAATGATACATAAGATTGCAGATTACGTCTTTGGACCATGTTATATTTTTTTATAATCGCGCTCTCGATCATTGTTAGGATAATTTAATCGTTTTATTTTCGCAGTGAAGAATCTCAAGATGCTTATACCGGTACATATTCGATCTTACCTGAAACAGGGCTCGTAAATCGGCGAAAAGAAACCTTGGCTGTAAAAGCATCTACTTTGAGAAAGAGATATTTCGTTGAAATCGCATGAGGATTGGGAATGGACTGCCGCGAAGTAGCGAGCAGTGGAATTGGCAGATCGATAACCCGAGGGTTAATGTTGGATAATTCGACCGGGACAGATTGTCCGGAATCCCATGGGTCCGGCGCCGCCGGAAGATAATTTCGGAGAGACACTTCGATAGGATTGTCTCGACTTTTGACAAATGGCTCCAGGTGAACGTCTTATAGTCGGCGTTTCTCATTCACGATGAAGCAGTGACTGATGATCTCGTGTGCGCGTCACTTTTTTGCTGGTATATTATCCGATTAGAATGAAACGCCATTTCCAATTACTGAGACATCTTTCAGTTTTTAACGTTCATTAAATTACTGCGAACTCCTGGTTCATTCTTGAGTGATTTAATATTGTTGTTACAATTTTTCGCCTAGTAAAATACTCTTACAAAGTCATAAGCTTATATCATATGTCATTATTGATAAATAATAATAATTATTAATCGATAATTATAATATTTACAGTTTGCGAAAAATACTTTTCTATAAAATACATAGTATATATTCTTATATACGCTTATACGATATCGATGCTAAACTGAATGGTACAATTTTCCATTTTATCGACTCATCGTGAAAACGACGCATAAAATTTTTAATCAGAATGCAATGTCAGCTTTACGACCGATCGACTGAATATAATCAGGCGTATAAATTTATAATTGACCGATAAACGAACATGTCAGCGTGATCGCGACATATACCGGTATGCGACTCCTGTGACAAGTTTCCACGGCAGAATAAACACAACATAATGTTCCGCAGCGACACAATGTCGCCATGGTGAAAAACGAATCTTCGGCGTTCCAGCCAGAGATTCGAACCACCGTACGTAGTACATCCGTGTTCTCGTGCAATCCTATTCTCCATTTTTCTTCCTCACTCTCGTGTAATATATATATATGTGGACTCCACACATATATACAGGGTGTCCCATTTTAATGCCCCACCCCAAATAACTTTCTTATTTTTAATTTTAGAAAAAGATGTTTCAGACAAAAGTTGTATGGTTTCGAGGGGGACATAAGATGGTACCATTAATTTGATCTTGAAGAGTCACATGAAGGTTACGTGAAGATCATTTTCAATTTCTTAAATGGAACACCCTATATATTTTTGCATATTCTTGTAGCTTATCTCGAGAGCTTTCCAAAACACTATAAATAAACATTTTTTCATCAAGTACGTTTCGAGTAATGAGGCTTGAAATCATTTCTTAATTTTACATAAACCATAAAATATCTTGTAAAATATTCATTTTTTGATTATCTTACCTTAATACTTTTATGTACAAAATAATGAGAGAAATCCATTGGTGCAAAGAAAACATACAGTTGTTTTTAAGAAAAAAATATGTAATTTGCAATTAACAATTCCATATTTTTTCTTAAAAACAACTGTATGTTTTCTTTACACCAATTGATTTCTCTCATTATTTTATACATAAAAGTATTAAGGTAAGATAATCAAAAAATGAATATTTTACAAGATATTTTATGGTTTATGTAAAATTAAGAAATGATTTCAAGCCTCATTACTCGAAACGTACTTGATGAAAAAATGTTTATTTATAGTGTTTTGGAAAGCTCTCGAGATAAGCTACAAGAATATGCAAAAATATATAGGGTGTTCCATTTAAGAAATTGAAAATGATCTTCACGTAACCTTCATGTGACTCTTCAAGATCAAATTAATGGTACCATCTTATGTCCCCCTCGAAACCATACAACTTTTGTCTGAAACATCTTTTTCTAAAATTAAAAATAAGAAAGTTATTTGGGGTGGGGCATTAAAATGGGACACCCTGTATATATACTGTGCCTTCTTCTCCCCGCTGGCGAATGTTGTCGGAAGTTCTGCCACCGTTTCGCCTCTCCCTCCGCACGTCACATACCAAAGAAAACCGTACGACCGAGGCGTTTGATATCTGCGACACAACTCCGTTATCGCACGACGAAGACGGCAATGCCTTGTCGAGAAACGAAATATCCGGAAAATACCGGGAACCTATCGGAACTTCTACGCCACCAAACTAACGCTCGCTCGCTGCTTCTTCCGCTTCTACTTGCGAACGAGCGACGAGCCTCGGGTCGATAACACCGGACTTGCTTGTCACTCGATAGCTATATACCATACTTCCGGCCGCGTCGGCAGAATCGTAAACTAGAGGAGCATCGCGTGGCATTATCTCGATTCGGTTCATTAACATAGTCAACCGAATGGACTCGCCAAATCGTATCCGGGCGACTTACGCTCTCGTTTTATGCGCGATAAATTACATCCCGGCGGTTCGATTGGAAGGAACCAGACGCTGGTAATCTCGGGGGCTTGTCTTAAAATTCTAGCGGCACGATTTCCAGATGAGAAAGTGTATTCTTCTTTTTCGTTACCGTCGCGCATCGCTGCGAAAGAGAAGCGATGTTACGCTAGATGAGGCTATGTAAAATAGGAATAAAGTTCTTGCGATTGCTTTAGCATATATGCTTACGATGTGCAGCAAAATACGATTAAATAGGTATTAAATAGATTGCTCCAACTGTATACCTTCGATTCTTTTTTTCCCTTGCATACAACATTCTATTATACTCTTTCAAATTCTCGATTGCACTTTTTTAGTGTGCTGTGGAAATGATTCATAATGACATATCTCTCTAATAATTTTCCCTATGTTTATCTGGATTTTTTAATGATATAAAAAGATACAAATTAGTAAAATATAAATTATTAAAAATGATTTATTAATAAAATTACCTATTAATAAAATAAATTATCTTTGATAGGAAGAAGAAAAATCAAAGTTTGTATGGTTTTCGAGATAATTGCATTTTTTAATAATATTAATATTCCGTATATGTGTTTATACTTACTCTTGCGTCTTTTTCTAGTTTTACACGAAAAAAATTATATTTTATTAATAATTTAACTGAATATGTTGGCTATTAACATTCTCCATTTAAATATTCTTCTGATATTTCTCGCTGCCACTTGACAAGATTCTCACGCTTATTGAATCGCTCAGAAGTAAACTAACGGAGACTGGAAACCAGTGATCTTGTACATTTACATGGTCTACTTTTCGCTCGTGCAGCACGATTCACCTTATATTCTCGCGTTCCTCTCTACCCGCGAGTTCTCTTTTCTGATACAAACCATTTTGCGCTTGAAACTCTAACCGTCACGAAGAGATTTAATTTTCATTGGTCAGTAGAGTTTAGTGAATGGCCTGCGGCCATTATGTGTTCAAACTCTGATCGTTGTTAACAGAATGTATAATCTATGGGCAGCTTAGTCATGTACATGTATGAAATATCGATTGTTAGTTATTGTTGCGTAGCTATCATAAGCTAACCACGTACACGAATTTCAAGTTTGAGGCACCTCATTTTGAAATTATATATTATTTTACATGAAATATGATATGCTACGTGTTAGTATATAGTTAGTTATATAGTAAGAAAATGAATTTCTTGAGTATGTATGCGTATTTGTGTTCAAGGAATTAATAAATATAAAATACTCTAACAAACAAGGTTTATTTCTATTTTAATATTTATGTTAAGTATTGAAAATTGTTTATTATAATTTGACAAATAATTGTCCTTGTAATAAAAAGTTGCATTAATATCTCCTCTTTTTGTTTTTATATATTATAAAATATAAATGTATATTTTTAAGAGGTAAAATATTTATTATCAAACGTTAGACGAATTATTTGTCATAATTAAAGGCATTTAATTTTCTACTTTGCACTGTAGAATGTACGATATGTTGATCAATGTATTCATTTATCAAATATTTACCAATTTATTTCCACTATACTTGTTGAAGAAATAATTATTCTTGTTTCCTACGATGAAAGATTGAGTGGATAATTTGTTGGATTTGCGTCGGATTGATTAGCCAGTGATTAACAATATACTCAGTTTTAAAAATTTGCTATATACATGTGAAAATAATTCGCTAAACGATAGATGGCTTATTATCATTCGATCATTATCATTCATTTTCAACGATTGTTTGGGCGCCCAAACCTGTCACAGGCAGTAACTACTTTCTCATCGCAAATCTTTTCTCTGCCTGCGCGAGTCATCCCAAGGATCTTTCTTGCGTAGAAATCTAGTGTCGGTGGAATCCAACGTTGTACCTTATATCCTAGCGGAAAGTTGCACATGAAGGACGAGGCTCCATACGTGAAAGAAAACAACGATTTTCGTTATAAAATGAGTTTATTTTCTCTGTACCATATATGCTATGTACAACGTGTGTGTTACGGTACTGACATATACGACGTTCGGAGAAAGATACGTCTTGATAATGTAGAAAAAAATGGAAATTAATTAGAAACACGCACGCATTACGTTTAACGTCAGCAAAGTGATTCGTTAAATTACATAGCAGTTTGAGTGCGTGGCTGGTGTGACGGGTGTATTATTAAAACGGTAGTTAGTATGCCGGTCGTGTATGGGCAGGGGAAAAAAAATAGGCGTGATAGGGTACGAGTATTCTTGAAGGGCAATATACGTTAACGTAAAAAATAAATAAGCGATTAATGCTGGTGCGCGGATATAACATATAAGGACGCTCGCGATCGTCGGGTAAGTTCTGTACGTGACGTATGTGTTCACCAATGAAAATGGTTTAATTTTGCGAGAGGCGACGCGCACTCTCGGCAGCAGGGGGCGGGGGAGGACGGGGAGAGGAGACGGGAGGATCGGGGGGGGGGTGAAGGCGAATGAATGACAGGGAGGAAGGGAAAACGAAAGAATGGAATAGGGGGCTGAATGGCGGGGGTGGAAAGGAAGATGTATAGGACGCGGAAAAAGCAGAAATACACGCTTGTCATGGTACAGAACAGACTCGAGCTTCCCGAGCTTACGACAGAGCAGGCGCGCACCTCAGGCTCGAGGACAAGCACCGACATCTCTACAAACTCGTGGATACTCTTGGTAAAAAAAAAAAAAAAAAGTACGAGGCATAAACATAATCCTCATTAAGATGGACGATAGGGACGGAGGGGATGGGGAATGGACGGAAGAAGGAGATGAAGAAGAAGCAAGTGGTACTTGTACGCAGAAACGCAGACGACGACGCCGACCGCGTTGAATTGCTCGCGGCTACCCGAGTCGGCCATTCGGAATTGCAGGCGCGTTGATATCATCGAGAGAAGTGATCGTCCTCGAGCCCAATATTATCTTTCCTTCGCGCAATTGCCTTCCGCGGTCTCGATCTCATAGCGCCAAGACCGCGGGCGCGTTAACTTAATCTTAATTATGTTATTATATTGATGAAACATGATTGCTCCTTTTATCGTATACGCATTAAATGTAAGACAATTAATTAATTAATGATAGTCCTTACAACTCTTCGCGTACTCGGCAGTTTCCATTGAGTTGGATCAAACGTCAAGAGCGACATGGGCATGACGCGCGTGTCGCGCATATAAAGTTCGATCAAGTCGATGAAAAGTGCTCACACATTCGTTATCGTGTTATACTCGAAACGCTTGTTGTCTACGAGGTGGCGCGAGAAAATCTTGCACATCTTCGCCCATGTGAAGAGTAATGACTTAGGATCTATTCCAGCGAGTTCCCGTATTTTATACCAGAGACAACTTGATCTCTTTCCGCACTCGGCGTCTCCGGTCGGAGACCGCTTCTCGCAGGCGAGGCGAAGAATTGTCAGATTTTTCTTGCGCCACTCCATACGCTCATATATACGTTGTTGAAATTACATCGCTAAAAGCGTTGCGCGGAGCGACCGCACGCGCACGTTTGCGCCTCGAGCGCATTCGCGCACGCATGAGCGCAGTGCGCGCGTTCGCGCGCGCAACACCACGTTTCAAATTGTGCGTCCGTACAAATATCGTCGAACATGTATAAAATTGGCTCTACCCTCTCACCACAAGCAGGTTGGATATACTACTGCAGCGTTAGCGCAAAAATTCTTAAATGTAAATCCATATAATTCAAGGGTTATCTTTCAAAAGAAAAAAAATAAAAATGACAAAAAGATAGATAAAGTCGCGTTATATGCGTGTCGCATCACTTACTGTACGCGTAGGCACCTTCGTTGGCATGTTTATCATCGTGTATATGTATACGTGTATATATATTTATATTTATATTTTTATATATTTATATTTACTTGTATTTATATACTTATATCAAGCGGGTCGCGCGTAGAAGCAGCAGCGAAGCGGAAAGGAAGATTATCGATCAAGTCGCGCCCGCGTAAGAGCGATACGAACATCGGCGTACTCCTTACGTTCTTAATGCGAAAGCAATTAAACCGCGCCTCGCGAAAATACACCGGAAAAACATTGGTCCCGCTTATGTTTTCTGCATTTCGATTGTTGCCTCGCGTCGTGCTTCGCGGAATCAATAGTGCTTGATTTAAGGGTCGAAATTCCATTTGGTTCGGTGTCGACGCTCCAGCGGTCTCGCTCAACTACGGGCAAAGCCTAGCAATATCCACGGCAATTAGATCCAATAATTAAAGCGTGCAGTGAAATTCCAGATGGACAAAACATACGCGCAATTGCTGTCCCTGCGCATCCTTTTTCGTTCAATTTTGGCTATTGTCGTTGCGTTAGTGACCGCTAAACGTTAATAGTGAGTTACACGTGCGGCAAACGCGTGGTTTATTAGATGGGAAACAAGTGTCGGTGGAAATTGTCTCGCTCGCGTCGAAAAATTGTTGAAATTTTCTAAATTGATTCCACGATTATTGAACAATCTAACGGAGCGAGTACTTATTGGATAGCATTAGATAAAATTTTGTTGCGAGCAAACACGATCGTTGTTTGCATACATAACGGCTTCGATGCGTATGAATAAAAGCAGGATTCGAGGTACGCGAATCTTCACCATGCCATAAGTAAACGTCAAACATCAGAACAATTCAAAGTTCGGTTAACTGTAATGCAAACACTTCAGAACGATTGGAAGCTTTCATTTCGTCTCTCTCACGGCCCGTGTTTGTCTTAACGAGTGTATTTTAATCCTCAAGTTTCTCAATTAATCCGATCTCTCTGAGCCCGCCTTGTATGCTTTGGTGAAATCGATAAGGCACTGCTGGCACAGTTATTCGATTTGTATTTCTTTGTTCTATAATGTATTACACGCACTGTCGATGCTAATTTTCATCCTTTTTTCGTTCCATTTTACACATTTTAAAGCAAGATAAAATCTGAACGTCAAAATTAATCAATTATTTCAATCGTTGTTATAAAATATTATACACGGACATTAAAATATAAATTGACAATCTGTATGTTACATATTTGATTAGAAACTTTGAAATATTTTATATCACCTAAAAACTGATATTTTTTTCTCTTTCTTTCTTTATAACTTGCCGCGAAAATAACGCAAATTTGGAAAATACATTTTATTTACAGGTTACATAAAAATGTCACGAATAACTGTCACGAACTGGATTTTTCTGTGTTTGACATTATCGTTGCGGCATTGTCCTTTAGAATTTTCTCAAGCTATCCGTCGATAAAATTGCGAACCAATAGAGCGCATTATTCTATTGCTTATCAATACGTAACCAGTACGGGGAATGTTGTTTCACTCGTACCAAGGAAACAATTTTTGATACTTTCTTTCAATTCTAATGGGTCAATCTAGATTGATAAGCTCACGTGTTACGATGTAAATTAACCTGGCCGCCACAAGATGACTAAGGATAAGGGATATGGCTAAGGTTAAGTCAGAAACCGAGGTTACGTGGCTCCGGTATAGAGAGATGGCTATCCTTGATGTGATTCTGTGCTCTCTCTCTCCCCCTCTCCTGTCCTCCCTCTCTTCCTCTCTCTCGCTCTCCTTTACTCCGGAAGCTAGACTCAACCCCATCAAGTGTTACCCCCACAAGCTTAGCTTAACCCCGAGACACCACAAGAGGCAATTAACCTTCCGCCAACCCCTTTGCGCGCGTACCTTCTACCCTCTTCACCGAGCTCAGCACGTTTTGATCCTACCGTTTCTCGTTCCGTCTCAATCCCTTCTTCCTCTTTCATCCCCGTGCTTAATTCGTCGCCCGATCTCCTCGTCGCGCCGTACCGTAGATGTCCTACACATCTGCATAATTATGCCCAATTCCCAATGCTAATTAGAGGCCAGAACCGGTAGCCTACCCGACGCAGCGAGTACATGTCCGCTTCCGTCATCTATAGAGCCGTAGTGTGCTGAGAGATGTCTCGCATCACGTCACGTCGCGTCACCTCGCGAAAAGAAGGGACGGTAAAAGCGCTTTGTGAGGGCAAGCCGTAGCGAAGAAGAAAGAGATGGTCTACACGCGGGCGCAAGAAACCGACCAAATTCGCGCGCGAAATCGATTACTCTCTTCGCGGCTGAATTTTTGCGCCGTTACATTATCAACTACTTATCGACGGAAGAGGTGTGGCGAGATCGCCACTTTCATCACGGAACAACGTAAGAAATCGATTTAGCCACGGCGCGAGGCGTGTGATTCTCGGTATGCCGGTCCGCGATCAGATACGGATTAAATATCGGCGCGATATTACGAGACGTTTCCTCTTCTTTTTTTCTCCTTTCCCTTGTATCGCGGCCATTCAATCTGCCTCTAAGAAACGTCCCCTTCGACTTTCGACGACTTGAACCGGGATACGCATACGCACGAAGGTCGCTTAGACATTGAACGTCACGTTAATTAAAGGTTGCCGGTACGGATCGTAATTGCAGTCTTGCTCCTTCCACGAAATAACCGGCCGCTTCAAAGACAGAACGACGAGATTGATGATACATTCGGTACGATTCGTTACGCCGCGACCTTGGCTAGGAATACCGATCGAGAAACACTGATATTTGTGCCTCAATAAGCGACAGCTAGCAAGTAATCAAGCGCAATTGTGCTAATTATTCCATTCGGCAATTCCGCCGGTATTATTATCAGCACGTGTGCATATGCGAATGTATAATTGTGTTGTTCCGTCCGGGAAGATGAGCGTGGAAACAACTTGGATTAAGTGATATCACGAAATTGATCGGTTTTCTTATGCTGCTAACTGCGAGGAAATGAAGTTGGAGAAATAGAAAAAAGAATATGCGTATGTAATAGAGTATCTAATGCAGTGATATGTGGATGCAAAAATATTCATATATGAATGGGTAGCGATTATTTTCTTGTTTCTGATCAAAACGATCGGTCTTCCGACCCGATGCGTTCAACAGACTCCGTGATCCATCTAATCTAATTGGAATTAGTAGAACGCTTCTGCAAAGCTTCCACCCGACTACAAGATAAGCGTGGGTGGTAAAGGCCATACTCCACTAAAAGCTACGTATATTGGCTGCAATCTCGCAACACGGTACACTCATAGAGAAGTTTGATGTATATATATATATTTTATATATATATAGCAAAGTAGCGTTCATCCGAATTCCGGAGAGGGATTTAAAGTGAGAGGTGTGAAAGTGGTTATCTGCTGATCGCTTTCGAGAACCGTGACACGCGCGCGAGTCTCTCCGGGACACGAGTTGAAAAAAGCTCACGTTCACGTGCGAAGAGTCAGCCCAAGATTCGTAATAGCGATTTTTACGCAGGAAGACGAGATTGACGATTGATATCGGATGAGAGGGGAAGCCATTCAGAAGCGACGTCCGGAGTATCCGGCGTCGTACAACTTACAAAGACTGTCGGTGCGACCCGGCATGGAATGCATTCCAGGCACGGACACGGAGACCGAGAGCGCTTCCTGATGCTTTAGCATCTGTCGGCGTCGCTGCCAGGTAAAGGTCCACGCCGCTATGATGGCAATCTGGGCGACAAGGAAGATCGTGCCGGCAATGATAGCCTCGCCCAGGTTGATGCACATGCCCATCGTCGATGATATGTCCTCGCTTTCGATGAAAACGGTGTCCCTCGTCGCGGAGGCGTTCGATAACTTACCGTCACGCTCGAAGCCGAACTTGTCCGTGATCTGAATAGACTGCACCAAAAGGAGGTCCTCGCGGCTCTGGGAAGCGGCGTCAGTCGAACGACGACGGCGGCGTCTGCCGAAGGAGATCACCGAGCGTAACTCACCAGTCGTCTCCTGCTGATCGCACTGCACCGGCTCGCAGGTCGGCATACACGGAGTGACCAGAGCGCGAAATTGTACCACTTCCGAACTCGGGAACTTGAAGGCATCGAAATGCGACAGCAGTATCTGTAATGGAAGCACAGAAAGAAGAAAGGCGATAAGTGGTTTAAGAATTTAATGAGTAACTTAGACGAATGAAAAAGGATTACTGAGACAAAAGTATCGTAGGCTTTATTAGCGAAGCAAACGACGATGTTTTATGTTTAAATATGAGGGATCAATTTTTTCAATGCAATGTCACGAGATATAAATGTTTCGGACCAATTATATTAATTGAATTCTGTTGTCTGAATAGCGAAAAATTATTATTAAGCTCTTCTTAAAGTGCACAAATTAAAAAGACAGTATTTATATCCATGTTTCATCCATTTAATTAAACCACAGTTTCTGTAAATGAATTTATTTATGAAATTTTTTACGAGAGATCTTTTATCTCGAGTTTTTATAAACGAATGAGAAATTCAGCTGTGTCAGTAATAATAATCGGTAAATGAACATTGTAATTTTCGCTTTTAATTTTTGGCAGTATAGCGCAGTATATTTAGCGCAGTATATTTAGCGCAGTAAATATATTTCACAGAAGCAAGAGAATTCGATACGTGGAATGTAATAAAACGAACTTGCTCGTACTCCATCGGGGTCTCTTTCGACGGACTGCAAGTCACGTAACCAATTGTTTCACGCCGTTACCTGTCGTTCGGATAATACATAAACACCTGTGCCGAATGGCTGCTCGAAACGCAACGATTTCGCCTTTCGAGGGGGAAGGGAGGAGGGTAGGGGAAGGCGCTTTTACCGAGCTCTCGCATACCGTTAGCAAACTACAGCGCCAATATTATGAGATTTGCGGCGCGTCTCCTCGTCACTTCTTCTCTTTCGTCGCTCTTTATTATCCTGCTAGCTCTGCGTATACAATTTCTGCGCTTTTTTCATTGCTGGCAAGAAACAAATTAAAATGCCATCAAGCGCCGATGTTAACTGAGAGAGGTGTTTGCGTCGGATTCCGAAATGTCAGATTTTTTCCCAACTTTTTTTTCACGAAGTTAGGAACTGCCCAACAATAACAAATGTAATCAACGTAGCCGCGAAGCGCGAGTGTCTTCCTTTTTTTTTGGTCCTCCTTTTTATTTCGCACACTCGTAATTCATACGCAACGTCGGTGCCGTCGACTCGACTAAGCTATGTCGCATTAATTCTGGAATTCCGACATGGGCGGTCCGTCGTTCGCAGGATCCTGGAATAATCTTATCCATATGTCGCTCCCATATAAATTTTCAACTGTATCCCAAAGTCGCCAACGACGTGATTTCACTCACGATGAGGTGTCGTAAGCGTGCAGGCAGTCCAGGAAGAAACAACAACAACAAGCTTTTACAAAAGAAAGATAATATATATGTATACAGAATGCGGATGCATCAGGGGATATCGCGTAAGTCGGCGGGCGTCGGCCGTCACACGCAATATGCGTAAGAGATGATTGCTTCAAACTGGTTTTTCGCAGCAGCTGCGTCCAATTTTATTGCTCTTTATTAGGTAAGGCCATATAACGGCAATTATAGGGGATTATGACATGAAAAACAGTCCAAGTACCCGCTTTTACGCGCGCCATTAGAGCGCGCATATATCCGTCCTGGCAAATGGTGCGACTAAGCGCATCACTGCAATTCCTATTTTCTCGCGACAAGCGAACCTATCCGTTAAAATCTTTTTTATTCGTCCATATTCTATTACAGTTATATTTGCGCGGAAAAAAAAAATTTTTTCTCCTTCTTTCGCCGCTTCTTGACGCTGCGAAATTGATTTAGCGGATATTGAAGAAGTATATATATTATTATAATAGAGACTCTTCTCTACATTATAAAACGAACGTACGATAATCGCCCGTGTTCGCTCGTTATTGTCCGTGAAATAGACTCGTGATGATCGCTTCGCCAGGAAACATCGGACGTAATGTATTCATAGCGGCCGGCGTTGCACGTGTATAACGCGCATCATTGATTCCTCTTCATTCAGATCATTTGCAAGGTCGCGGTGGTCAAGCGTTTCCTTCCTTTCCCGATCCATTCTCCTCTCGAAACCGTGAAAGACTTGGGATACGCAAGGGTTAGCGCCACGTTCCTCGCGTACACGTCGAAAACTGGTTTCTACGGCGCATTACCAAGTTCATCGTATTTACACACCAAGCACGTATATTATCGGCGGGAAGTAAGACATTAAAATATGCTTCGTTCCACGTACAGCTTCATTTAGCCGTTTCTTTGCCCGCGCTGCGCGTCTAGTGGAACGAGCGGAACTTTATTAACCCAACGTCATCCCGCGCAGAAAGAGTAGCGGAAGGTCCATTCTCCGCGGGGGAAAAGCCCGCCGAGCGAATGGTTGCATCCGAGAAGCGGGGAGAAGAAGAGCGTAAAAGGAGATCGAAGGGAGGCGAAGAGAGAAGGGTGGAGAAAAGCCCGGGGACGCGAGTCCGAGAGGGGAAAAAGAGAGAGATATGTATAGCTAGACGCCGGGGAAAGAAACACGGGCTGTATCCGCGGCATCTGGTGCGCGCCGACGATAAGTCTCCTTCAGCGGGAACGACGTCGGCGATGGGAAAGGACGAGAAAGAAAGGACGGGGGGGGGGGAGAAGGGGAGGACCGTCATAAATGTACCGCGGCAGATCAGTCAGATCGTAAGTATCGCGCCCGCGCTTTTACGGCGCGGCTCAACTTGATCCTCCTGTCTGCCTTATAAGTCGGCCGCGGGCTCTTCCTCCCCCTCCCCCCCTCCCCTCTCTCTCTCTCCTCCCCTTCATCCTTTCTTCATCCTCCTCATCCTTCCGGTTAGTCTTAACATACATAGGTACGTACGCGCTTCCGTACGAGTTTACGTACACAGATGTGTGGTGTACGGCGGTTGAGAAATGTTTCCAATTTCATTCAAACCGGTTGCGAAATGGAAGAGAGCCTCGTAGCGCAGCCCGGTTACGTGACGGACATACCGGAAAGCCGAACTTTTGGCAAATTCTGGTTAGAGACGGGACGCAATGCTGCATCCCATGGAGCTTCCCCTGACAACCATCATTTCTCTTTCTGTTTTCGATCTAGGATTAATAAAATTCAACGGATTGTTCGTTCTTTTTCGCGACGCGTTTATTGCAGGATTTCTCACATTTATGCAGACAGACATTTATATAGAAAATGATGTTTTAATGGCACGAACAATTAGATTTTTGTGTATGTAAGAAATTATGTATGTGTGAAATGTGTTGTATTAATAGAATAGAAATAGAAATTTATATTTTCCGATAAGTTGGACAAAACTTGATAATTTTTCTCTTACACTTACTAAAATAGTTTTATCTAATAAAAGACAGAGACACGTTAAATCTTGGATTCCATTCCATATTTAATTTTCTAATGTGTGATAGCTTTCAATGCTTTAATTAATTTATGTGTACTTGGAATAATTGCATTAATCACGATATTAAGTCTTAGGTAATTTATCATTGTAATAGTAATCGATACATCATAAATATTTTTATCAACTTTGAAATAACGTAAATACTACCTAGTGTTCTTGGTAATAATTAATTATTAGTCATTTATTATTATAGCTCGTTCCGCGATTACGAGGGAGGAAAGGCCTTTCAGCTTCCCAGATATTAAGAAAGACAAAGAATCAACAAGTAACTTCCTGCTATCGATATATCTCGGGTCAAACGATGCCCCTCGTTTACCAAGAATCAATGTTGCGAGCATTTATTACCAAATCTATAATGACGACATACTATTGCAAAAGGCGGAGATTATTGATAGCTGATAGCACGACGTATATCAAAGTTGTCTCAGGCGTTTTATCACTCATGCTGGTCGACGGGTAAATAGAGGTGCATACGGATAATATACGGCACGAGCGATTATACATGTTGATGCAATTTCTTCGAGTTACATTACGTTTCTGCAGATTAAAATTTACAAACACGCCCATTCCTTTTCCTATTTGATTAAACGAGAGAGAAAAAGAGGGAGAAAGAGAGAGAGAGAGACATAAAAATTGAATATAGCGAAAGACTTTCCTCATATTTTTGTCCGCTCGACCAAATTCAGCAAGAGATCTCTAGTCTCGTATCTCGACAGGAAATGGGGTTAACTCTCGTGATCAAGCACGGTCAGGAAACGAGATCAGGCAACACGGTGTGCACGTTCGAAACCGGAAAAGGGTGCCGTACGACGCTTGATACAGGAACGGCTGGATGATATATCTTGATACTTGGCGTCTTACGTACATATATATCCCGGTATATAAATTTACTCTTTGTTTCTACCGCGACTGTTATTACTTTCTAATAAAGCGATATTGCTCCGCGGCCGTGTTCGCGCGAGCAAATGATGTGGAACGACGAGTTAACGAGGCCGTGTGCCTCTTATTGCTCCACCTTCGCTCCGACGCCCGTTCCTACCTGCCACCATCGTAACGATCCGTTTGTTTTACTCATCGACGCACCAAGCATCATCCGCGCGGTCTACGGAGGCCACAGCTGGTCGAATGTTGCGTCTCGAGCAACGTGGCCAAAGAAAACTCTCGCCTCGCATTTCCGCGTTACTTGTCTCGATGCGAAAGAAAATGTAATTGGAAAAGCCGGACTCTCCTCGGACGGAATGTAAGAACGAATACTCGAATTATCGGGAAACATTTTTACAGGTTTATTAATGTGCTCCGATGCACCGCGGAATCGTATTTCTTGCTCTGCCTCCTGCGCGCGCTCCTGACGTTACATCGTGCAAGTCACGGTGCAAAATGTACGAGCGGTATATGTGTAATTGGTCTATCGAGGTCATATACGTGGCAATCGCCTACCTATTAACCGCGTAAGAATTATTGTACTTCCGCTCTAATGCGTTTTCGCTCCGGCTCACCCACGATACTTCACGCGTTGCGAAGAAAAGAGAGAGGATTAAACTATTTTTTCGCACGATCTAATGGGATCGCAAAGTCAATTCGCGTGTTACCTTATGCGGAAAACGCGGAAGTAATAATCAGCTCCACGAGCTCGGTCGTTTTGAACCGGTACGTTCCATTATTTAATGATCCATCTTCGTATATTTGAATGGAAGAACGTCTGTTCTCAATCATGTATATACGCGTCATCTGCGAATATATTTTTCTTTCTCCTTTCCATCTTTTTCTTTTTTTTTTTTCAACCTCACGTAAGACGGATCTCGCCGGGAACTCGCGCGACAACAATGTATTCAATTATTTAAGCGTACTCGGATAAAAGTTACCTTTGCGATGCCCGTCAAGTTATCGATGAAAATCGAAATAACGAAGGATACGAATGATGATCGAATGAATCCCGCTCTTAAGCTCGAACTCAGCACCGGGGGTAATCTTACGCTCCCTATTATGGAACACGCGAAAGTAATGATCGTTGCCAGACTAGCCTGAAGTCAAATCGACCGGTTGACTCGTGCCCGCTTCCATCTCTCGCCTTTTTCCCACTCAGCCCCGCGTATTTCGAGGGGTAGAACGCACGTGGCGCGTTTCTCAAGACGTCGACAAGCATCGACATTATCGGCGTCAATCATCTCGATCATCTCGAGGCCTTGTCGTTTTCAGCTGTCAAATTAATATATAATACCAGCGTCAAATTAATATATAATATATCAATATTTATCGTATATATATAAAAGATGCGAGGCAGCCGCGCGTATATACGATATCATATCTGCCCGCGGTTCTATAAAATGATAGTTTTTGCTCCCGCAGTTCTTCCTTTATTGCACTTCGCATCCGCTTACAGCTGCGACGCGCGAGATGATCGAGTACCAAGACGTTCTTGTTAGAACGGTGCCAAGAGGGACATTTAGCGCAAGTGTGCCGACTACATTTACTTGGTTGGAAATAGTTTTTCATTGCCGGCAGCGCTATGTTCATTTAAGAAAAGTAAAATCGCATCTATTTGCATCGCTCGGCGATTATTTATTTCCCGATTGCATATTTATCGAGATTAAAGGACTTGTCTCGTTTAATGATTGTTATCGCAGAATTAGAATATGTCGAGACTTACCTTGCCGGTGGTGGCCGATTTGTAAAGTGGTCCCATGATGACGTGATCGGTAGGGCAGCCGTCGGAATCAATTAGAACGATTTCGCTCGAGTCGACACCGTCCATGGCGACTAGCTCACGAACGAAGATCTCGTACGGGCTGTTGGGATCGAGGATCTCGAATTTGAGCGCCAGAGGGTCGCCGACTTCGGCCGATGGGATGGCCTCGTTTCCGCTGCGATCGGTAATCTTCATGGCGACGTTCGGTGAGTCGACGATCACCTCCTCCGACAACGCGGGCGTGATGTCGCCGTGCACGCCGAGGTCGACTTCATTAGACACGGTCTTGTTAGTGAGGTCGTACTGACAGGTCACAGCCAGTCCGAGATCAGAACTGGTGACGATAGTGTCGTGATGTTGGATAACCACGTCGTTCAAATAACGGCCGAGTCCTTGCTGCCTTATGTTACACTCGAGGTCGTCGTATGCCATGCGCAGCTCAAACTCGAGCGCACCCTTGATGTCCTGCACGCACGAGTTGGGCGAACCCTTTGCGTACACCTTGCCGTAGAAGAGCTTGCTCGTTTGAATTCTGGTCACCATATCGCCGGCGCGGCAATCGATGGTCACATTGTAGCAGGAGCTCAATTCGTACGTGGACGCTTCCGGTACATCGAGATACGGTTCCTGAAATTATCGTTTATTTTCGGATCGTTACTCATTGCTCACGCCCCGAATATCGTTTGACGTAAATCGCGCATTAATGCGATTTGTCGTATTAATTTAAAAGAATTATAGCGGGCGCGATAGTGATAAATTTCAAAGTACGCGAAGCACGCGGATGTTTCGCAATTAAACTTCACGAAGCTACTCCACAATTTATTGATCACTCTTCTATTTTGTTCGCTTCACGTGGTTGGGAGATTTTGATAGCTTGCATAGGGCTTACACAAAAATTCCCAGAGAATTTATGACAAAAATCGAACAGCGCGAGCGAAAAGGGTGCATCGGAATTCCACGCACTGTATTGATCTTTAGTGATATAGTCCGCGCATAGCAATTAATATGTTACAATATTCAACAGCAAACGTGAGTAAAATAGGAACGGTATAGTATCTGGTGCTTTTATATAGAAAATACTGCCGATGTTCTTTTTAATTCTTTCAATTTTTTGCGTCTCCATCTAACAAATTTTGCATCTTATCGAGTTTATTCTCACATTTCTGATGCAATATATTATATAAAATGACAATTTATTTGTTCAAATAATTAACCATACTCTTTATTTTCAACATCTAAAGCATCGCATTTCCATTTATCTGATATATCGAAAACCAATAATTATCAATCGCAAAATGATATACATACATGTGCATTTTCATTTATATATCGTGCAAAATGATAATCCGCTCTGATTCACGTGCATGTCACTTTACAAAGAATTATTCGAAATCGCTTTATATGACGCTATTTATCGCTTTCCGTTCGAAGCTCGATGGCCCTCTTCGATGAAACAAATTAATCGAATATTGCACTGATAAATACTCTTGACAGTTTGTCCTATCTCTACAGTTACTAATTTGTATATTTGTGGAGATGCGTCTCTGTGATGCTTGCATAACCGCTCATGGAACCAGTCACGGATCCTATATGCATCCCCATCAGCCTTCCATTATACATATTATTTGCTTCTCTCCGAATGAATAATCATCCATGAAACTCGTATAGCCAATAAACTATTCATGCCGCAACGTGGATACGATATTTCAATTCGCTTGATATTATTTAAATACATCATTACAACAATTATTCGTTTGCAGAATTGATTAATGATTGCATTACCACTTGTTCCTGTATAAAACGCTAATCAAATTCCCGATGAATTGGTGGTCGCTAAATCTTTCTTTTGATTTTCTCTCGGAATACCGGACGCGATTCGTACTAACCCGAGTGTTATCCGAGAGTTCGATAGGGAAAGCGTCTGCGATGGAAACTCGATTTTCCGCGAATGCGCCCTCGGCGGATTGTTCAACCTGGTTTGCGTGTGTGCGAAGTAATCGCATTTATAGAAAATCCCCACTGGCCCTTTCAAGAATCCGCAGTACGATACGATGAGCGAAACGACGCGGTCGCAAACGAAGTGGTCGCGAGATTCTATTTTAAATATTCCCCATAAATTAAATCACGTAAAATGCTCACAAGCAAGTAAATCGAAACTCGATAAGAGAGTGTATCTATTTCTCGCGGGGCAAGAATTTCATTGTTAATTCGTCAAAATCCTTTTTTCGTGTTACTATTGTTCACTTATCACAGAATATTGGCGTAACATTTTTATAAATATTTTACAAAACTCTATAAAATTTTTCCTACCTGAATATCGGAGAGAGTGGCACGGGTATGATGACTGAGACGGCAGACCATGTCACCAGTATCACCGTAATCATAAGAATGGCAACGGAATGGCGAATTCAGGCACAATTCTCGGCATTCATCGGACGTGCCGACATCCTGATAAACGGAGTCCACAGTTTTCAATATTCGGCCTGTCAGTTTCTTGAATTCGCAAAGTTTCACTGGCTCTTCCACGCAATGATTTTCCAAATAATCCACTCCTTTCGCTGTCTGGAAGGCATTTGAACCGGCAACCGTCAATCTATCCATATCCGAAAGCTCGCATTGCTTGGTGGCGTTGGCATAATTTGCAGATCTGAAATCCAGAAAAAAATCCTTATAAATAATTTGCTGGAAAGCTAACTACGAGCTACAATTTGCAGAGAAAATAAGTTCGTTGATACAAGAATTATCATGAGAATTATCACGAGAAACTTGTATATAATTCTTTCGTTCTATAATTCATACCTTTTATCATTTCTGAAACTTTTCTCGATTTCCGAAACTGATAAATAATCCATACTATCGGAAAAATTATTCACGATTACAAAAATCTTTCTTTCAGATGTATAATGCAAATAGCAATAATATTTTATCTCCCTAACGATTTTCTAATTTTTTTAATTATATATCTTATTTTTAATTATTTTTTATTATATATCTTATTTTTAATTATTTTTAATTATTTTCTAATTATATTTTATTAACAAATTATAAAAAATATTATCTTTTAAAAATAGTTGAACACATTTAAATATAAACTATTCCAACGCAAATATAATATCAATCTTCATAAGCCTGATATATGTCGCGTCTAGACGGAAAATTGAAATCAGGGTATTTAGAAGTTAAAAATAAAGGAAAGACATGTAATCCGTTTTATTCATCATGTACAGCGTCGCTCGTTTCACAGTATGTAAAAACATACGAGAGGACGCACGTGCTCTCCGTATAATCATTATACCCATGTTAATCTCGGAAGGCACAAGTTGTAAAGAAAACACCCACGCACGAGCAAATCCGAGCGCGCATCCGGGTTTCGTTTCCAGAGTGGCAGCGGAGACACGACGGCACGAAGTCTGTCCGCCAGAATAATTGCTTTCCGCCACGCTTTACTGCGCCGTAATAATGCGTAGTTAATGATACTATACGAAACTAAGCAAGAAACAATTAAGAAGATGCTAATTTATTAATGCTCCTTTTAGAACGAGAAGAGGAGAGGGACAAAGAGAATGTTATATGCTCGATTTATTTTCATTTCTCTCTTCCGCGCCCACCACATGCATCTCGTGGATAATGTGCATTCGGCATAAATTGAGAGAAAGATGCGTTACGATGTGAACCAATATTTGTAAAATTTTAACGATGAGAATAATCTACAAATTTGAGTAGCAATTTCCGACAAATTAAACATCCATTCATCTTATAATTATGGATCAATTTAAATTTGATGAAGCGATGCTTGCATTAATATTTCAGGCACTATGTGAACACGATACGATGACATCTATGAGCGATCGATACTAAAATTTCCTATTTAATTGGAGTTCTTTTGATTTAAATTAATTGCGATTAATAAATGTTTCGATTTTAATTAAGTTATAACGACAGTAAATTGATGTTCGTTTCACATAATAATTTACAAATAAAAATCCAAATCTGGGAAAAATGTTTTTGTAACCGTGAATAACTTTGCCGCCGGTCAATATAGATTTTTTTTTTATCAATTTCGGAAATCGATACAAATACCGGAAATGATGAAACATTTGAAATATAAAACGGCAAAAATTATTCGTGGTTACAAAAATATTTATCTCGAGCCTGCATTGCATATGTACACTGGTCACTATAGAATTGTTCTGTAAACATTTATATTGCTTTATACATATCGATGGGAAATGATAGTATTTTATTGCATATGCCGAATGGAGCAGTATATTTTGTCATATTTTTATTGGATCTTTCTTTATATTCATCACATGATCTTCCTGTACATGGTGCACAGCCAGTGCAACAATATTTTGGATTGTTTGATATCGATAGTTGCTTCAAGGTTTAATTAAAACGAAATATTGCGCGTTGACAATTTACTAATAGAAACGCAGCATTTTACAAAATACATGTATGTTTACAAAAATTAAATTTTATGAAATTGCACAATGGCTGTGATGCATCTAATCTCTCGTAATCTTACTAATTTTCTCGAAGCAAATGATTACTCGTTCGAACAATCAAGATTATCATGATTATAATCTGTTTTCTCGGGTCTGCAATTTTGTAAATCGATAGGGAAACGAGAAGATATTAAGAGTAGAGGCATAGAACGCGCTGCCCATTAGAACATGTGCGGTCGCATTCTTGTCGCAACCGCAACTTCCTCTATTCGCGTCCGCTTAATGTAGCGCGCGTAAACGCGTGTTCAACATACGCAACATACTTTCGAGACAAGAATGTCTAGGAAAATTGCGGCTCCGGTTCTTTTGTACCTCGAGATCACGTCTTCACCTCTGGCCGCTCTATAATCCAGGATTACGTATTTTCCGCGTCGAACATTTACCGGATAATCCGGAATATTTTTCGACTTGGCCGAGACATTGAAATCATTACCATCTTTTTCCCCTTCTCGAGAGAAAAGATCCGGAGGACTGAATAACGGAGAAGAAAATCGCAGACGAGAGACTTTTCGCCGTAGCATTCTCAGATGCTCAATCGGCATCATAATCAAACTTTGTCCTAGGACTGGTATCCGGACTGGCGATAGGGGAGTGGGAGTCGCTCCCGCGAGGCCCGAGCGGCGAAGGGTGAAGCCGCCAAATTTATTCCACGTCGCTCCATCGATTTTGGATTATATTGCCTTAAGACCTGAATAATATTCATGGGTGCCACGTTATGATTTCAATATTCCCGGCGCTCCGCCGTGCGGTGGCAAAGTCGAAAAATCACCGCGGTCTTATGCGGTCGGGCGCGATAAACCCTGGGGCTCGATCGAGAAATATAATCGAATTGGTAGCGGTCGTCTGTAGTTCCCGCGATTATCAATGTGCCTCTTTCGTCCTTACATATTCCGTCCCTCTGCGTTGCCATTTCGCGAATCGATAGCCGTGGGTCGGAGGGAGAAAAGGGGGCCGCCGACGTGAACAGAGCGCGGTACCGCGACAATGGTCCGCAGTAAAACCGACGATGCGAAATGAATGGGTCACGAAAAACGCGTTCCCAGCTTTGTTTCACGGCTCTGGCGCATCAAATATATGTATATGTGAATGAATATTTGCTCGTTAAATCAACAAGTTTCGGTCCAATTGTTCGTGATTCAAATACAATAATTGTCCGATCCTGTAAGCCGCTTCGCTCCCCAGCCCTCAGCCTTTCGTCGGCGCAATACGTCGTTTATTATTCATTTTATACGCAAATGCGGACAATCGCTTTTATTCGAAAAATTATTTTTAGCCTATTCACTGATTGCGCCGCGTATTGATTATGGGTACTCTCCGAAAGATTTGCCATTCATGCTTCGTTGATGAAGATATCAAATCGCGTTGAATACAGCGTCTCATTATCGCTAATAGACATGCAAAAACTATTAAAAAAGCCTCGTTTGAAATCGTTACCGCAATGATATAAGAGCCGTAGTGGCGCTACTGCGTTGAAAATATACCGGATACTATAAAAACATATTGAAATTGCAGCTAACGAGTTGCCGTAAGTTGCAACAAACCCGCGATGTCGCTAATGATGATGGAGTACGTCAATCACTCTTGCAAAACTAAAAGCCGCAATGTACCTCATAGTTTTTCAAGCATAATTCATGCAGTTTATCACGAATTATTAATTATACGAGGGAAATAACTATATGACTGACGAAAAGAATGATTATCCATTGAATTGTTTTGGTGCAAAAATAATTGTGATAAAGTGCTTTAAATTTTTATGAAATTTTTATATCACTTTATACAATGGATATGTTATGCTGTAAAATGTTTTTTGTCTTCCATGTCGACAGCTTGACATTGTAACGATCATGGTACGTTAATTTATAGTGTAACGAGATTTATTACATTGCTTGCGCGGTGAATAACGTGCCGTGCACACAGAAGGAATAAAAAATATTATAATTATAAATTCCATTTTTTGTAAATTAGAAACAGTAGAAGCAGATTAGAATATTTATAATGTTCACGTAGTATCTTGCTACTAGTTCATCGCATATCCATTCTGTAAGTTTATATTTTTATTTTTTATTTTTTTTCTGTAACTTTACTTAACGAGTACTTTTGGAATAATTCTACTTTTAAGACAACCTATATATATAACAGATCGCTTTTCTCTCGTTTTATGTAAAACATCTTGTTCGTTGTATATTGTCAGCTAGCTTTTTGGATGGCATTATCATCGAGAGTTCTCTACTTAGGGAGAAACTTATGCGACGAGATACGACCACTAAAGGCCCGGCCTCTCAAAGTTTATTTCGGACAGGCGATTCGGGTATCTCTCATGGTAAATAATTAATAGACGAAAGGGTAAAGTTTACACAACGTATTTCGCACTCGTGTCTCCTTCCACATCTATCCTTTCCCTAATTAAATTGATTTGTTCTTAGTAAGAATTTGGTTGAACCCTTTCTCATGATTTTTAAATTATTTAATATTAATTTATTAATAATAAATTATTAGCATATTTTTCTGTAATTAAAATCCAACATTGAATTATTTTGTTAAAATTAAATGAAGAATGTTATCTATGTTTAATTTAATTCACAAAAAACCTCTGTGTTTTTCAATGCATTGTATATCTAAAACAATGCGATATTTTTCTTACAAAGAGAAAGCTTTCCAAAGACAAATATAAAAATTCAGAAAGATATTATTTTTCTGTAATTATATATATAAATAAAAATAAAAAATTATTTAATTAAATAAAGAATATTCTACTTTCAATTCACGAAAAATCTTTGTTTTTTTCCATGCATTGTAGGTAAAAAACAATCTCTTATGCGATATTTTATTTTAAAAAAAAGGAAGCCTTTTTCAAAGACATAAAAATTCAGGAGGATATTACAGTGAACCTGAAATACGATGTATAAGTTGACATGCCTTTTTCTGTCTCACGACTAGAATTCCTGTTACCTGCGATAGAGCAACATGAGCCGACTGCAAGTCTGGCGATGTGGCACGAGACACAGGAAGAGATACGAGAGTAAGTTGAAAGTCTATTGCGCAACGATAAAGCCCCTTCTGATTTTCTTTCCTTGATTCGGGACAAAAGTTACCCGGCGCTCGTCTCGTACGACTTAGAATAAACATCGAGGGGAAACTTTAA